CAAATTCAAGGGAATATTTTTTTCGACCTATTTTCGTATGCAACCGGATGTGACGTACTATGATTTGGTGGTATTACACCTTGTGGAAAAAATTTGGTTGATTATAAGGGAGTCACTGAAACATGACTGGAGCGGGCCCCCTCTTAGGTAATCAGTGGGCCTCCCCCTTATGAAAATGTTTGGATCCGCCACTGGTTTGTGTTCACCAGGTTCATAAATATAAAAATATGTTGTAAGATCCTAGGTAGCGCACATTATCTGAATTCCCATTGTTGTTTAACACCATTGGTGATACTTACTTTATAATCACTAGCTTTTCCTAAAGACTTGCCGTCATAGCTGCTTGAATTGGAAGAAAGTGGGCTTTTATTGGCATTTATTACATGCATTCAGAAAAGTTAATTTTATATGGACATCATTTGGGTTACAGATACAGGAGAAAGAAAGGCACATAGGATTCTTGAAATATAAAACTTTTATGGGGCGAGGTATACACACTTAAATGTGGGTAATTTCTAAACCACCAGCATATTAATTTCGATTCAGTTATCAATATCAAGGTGTTCTTTTTTACTTTAAAGAAAAGTTATTATTTTTTTGAATTTTTGGTTTGCCCGTTGTTGCTAGAGACGTATGACACTTTTCTTGATACTATCTGTTACATTTAAAAAAAAAAGATGGGTCAATAAAGTGAAATTTGAAAGTTAATGGATCCAAATTATTTCAAACGATTTTCCACACTTTAGATATCCTTGAAATAATTTTTGTTTGTGATATTTTGTTTTGATTTGTAGCGGCTTTTTTTTATCAATATTGTTGGCAATTACACTAAGAAGGAGGTATGATACACGAGTTTTATGGGGCTCCTTAAATTCAAGATTAAATTTACAAGATTAGTTTCAAAATTATTTAATCTAGTTTCTTTATTGGAGAAATGTCATTTGTTTTGTTGTATGTTGTCTCTCATTGATTTTTGTTTGTATTTTTTTAATTTTTGTTACTATACAACAATGTATTACTATAAAGGAAAGTACTATTCGTGTGCTATTTTTTTCTTTATAAGCAAATGGAGGGTGGAGAACTTTAACAGTGGTTTTCCTTTGTTACATCTGAGTTTTGAGAGATGTGGTGTTGAAGGCAATACTTCTATGATAGATATAGGAAGATGTGGTATGAGTGCCAATGAGACAACTCTCCATCCAAGTTACAATTTATAAAAGTAAACCATTATAGGTCAAGGTACGGCCTTCAACACGGAGCATTGGCTCACACCGAACAGCAAGCTATAAAGGGCCCCAAAAAACTACTAGTGTAAAACCATTCAAACGGAAAAACCAACGCTCTAATCTATATAAAAACGAGAAACGAGAAACACGTATGAACTACATAAACAGACGACAACTACTGTAATCAGATTCCTGACTTAGGACAGGTGCAAACATTTGCAGCGGGATTAAACGTTTTAATGGTACCAAACCTTCTCCCTTTTCTGAAACAATAGTATAACATCACAACATAGAAAAACACACTATAAAATATCAATTGGAAGGCTTAACTCAATCAAAAAACGTAAATTAACACACAATGAATGAATAAAGTTGACCTGTGACACCTGAATGCAAATACACAGTTAATAAAAAAATTAAAGGGATAAATAATTAAAGTCAAACGTAAATAAACAGGTTTAAACAAAGTAAAATATAGTCCAGATAAATCAACAAACACACGTTTCACGAGTTAATTAACGGGGAGGTTTGGTTCGAGACATATTGACATATGTCTTGAAGACCAAAAGTTGACCTCTAAATTTCTTATGGTTTTTATGTTGTTGGAATGCAGTTTAATTGACATATGCCCAATATCTCCTTTATTTATAGTTTTTGGTATAAAATCAGAATAACCCATACTCATTATTTGAGGGGGTAAAACGATCGTTTAACTGACTTCTGTTCAATTGACATATATCCAATATCGCCTTTATTTATAGTTTTTGGTATAAAATCAGAATAACCCATACTCGAAAAGATATTTGTTATATATGATCATATGATCATCTTTTATTATATAAGGAAACCTATGACAAAATATGTTTTGGGTAAGACTGACACTTTTATTTACATGTTAATTTGGAAATGTTAGATTGCAGTGCTTGCAGGAGTTTTCATTCAATGCAAGCAGTTTACACAAGTAAAACAGATATGTTCGGGCAGATTTGAATGTGTTATTATTATTAATATCCGATGGTAGACATGTGAAATTATTATTTGAGGGGATAAAACGATCGTTTAACTGGCTTCTTTCTTCAGAGCATCACAATTATTATAATTATACAAAACAGAATACAAATAACTTTTATTTCAAGTTATAGGGCTCGTTCAGGGTATTCTAATTAATAGGAATCACAAAGAAGATCAAATAATAAAGATGAGATAAAAAATAACCTAAACATTCTTATTGATTAGTTATGATTTTAAATTACTTTAAAAAAAAACCCACATCAAAACACAACATATAAGAGGAAGAGAGAACCAGTTGTATGAAGAGGAATAACTCTTGTTATTTTTATTTATCTGAACATTTTTTTTTAAAACCCTGTAAATCTACATGTGACAAATATAATATTACGATAACCATGGTAATAATAAGACAGGTAATATATATAAGTCTAAATTGAAAACAACGTTCAAACCTATGATTGCGTTGGATAAAAACCACAATTTTTATACTTGTGCATGCAAAACAAATTTCTTGGTAGAGGGGTCTAAATACAGCACAAACAACATTTTCCAAAAGACCAAAAAAGTGAAAAAGTATATTTAAACAAAACGCATTGCAGAATCATTAGAATGTGACATTTAACAACAAATTAGAGAAAGGGTTTAACTCTGTTAAATCATTTAAACAGATAACACCAACATACATAATAAAGTTTGAAAGAGAGGGCAAACGTGACGTACTATATAACAGTGTACCAAAGTATGCGCGCAGTTCCAGTAAGTTAAGCAGAATATATTTATCTCCGGCTTAAGAAATTATCTACTATCGTACTTCTGTGAAGATATCCTACAGCTGAGGTATGAATAGTTAAGGCATTACTATTTGTAATACAGTACTTTTTTAACATATTTTAGATAATGCTGTTAAGTAATGTTACAACCATTTGAACTAATGGTCTGCTAAACACTTATAATTTCCGAGTTGCATATGACATGTAGCCAGTACAAAATATTCTTACATTTCTAAGTGAAATTATTATATTTCATTTGAAAACAAGTATCTGTAATTGTACATAAGTAGAATATCCTTAAAACATAAATATCTTTTAAACCTAAAAAAATAATTTAATATCAACATAATAAAAAAATTGTGGTGTGAAAAAGAGCGCAATTAAGACATTGACATAGTTCATTAAATATTCACTATATTTAATAATTTCATGCTGATCTCTCTATGTCTTTCGCTTTCCTTGTGTCGTAGAGTTGGTGTCTCATTGAATACTAGTATATCTTGCACTTCTTTTAAATTCTATATATTATGAAATATTTAGAATATAACCTTTTAATAAGTTAGTTAGGGCAAATAAAAGAAGAAAAAAACAACAAAAAGACACTTATATTTATAGCATGGATTTATTCAACTTATAGATACCTAAACCCGTTTACATTATTTCTATAGTTCAATTCATTTAATTATTTTTAATACTTATTTACCAAAAGATATATAATGTTTCCAAACTGTCCTATCTATTATTCTATTATTAATTTTGAATTAAGTGACCATCATGTTGGTAGCTACTCTGTGCATGTGTATTATTATATGTTTTAGTTGTACAGCATATTGTATAGAAAGGCACCTCATTCTGTACCTGTACCATGTAGGGCTATCTGTATTTTTCACGGATTAAATAAAAGTCGGATGTTTGTTGTGAACGTGGTCTGTTGTACTATTTAATATTTTTTGTGATATCGTTGTGCTTTTTATTTACATTGACGATTTTTTATTTTTAAGGCCAGATAATTGGTAAGGACAATACTATTTGATATGCTTTAGTGAACATGTGATAATATCAGATTATTACATGGCATTTTTTATATCAGATGTATTATCAGCCCAAGGTTCAATATCAGCTGATATTGACCGAGGGCTGATAATATATTTGATATGAAAAATGACATGTTATGATCTTTTCATCATATGCTTCAACAATGGAGAAAAATCACAGTTTAATAAATTGATCCTTTTAAATGGTTCTCAAGGAGAAGTTCAGAAAGTGGAAAGTTCGGCTATTGGGCTGATAATACATCTGATATGAAAAAGGCACTGGTTACGGTCACATTGAAATGTAACAATAATAAAAAAAGTTATTGTTACATTGAAGACTAATTGCTGGAAAGCAGGGTTAGGTAAGGAACTGATTAATTATGAATGTAACAATAATATTCGTAGCTATGGTTACATCAGAGATATATTTATACGCAATCTCTGGTTACATTGTGTTATACTGTTTTAATCCACAATTACGTTAGAATTATTAAACTTTAACCTTCTACAGTTTTGTTGATTAATTCTTCAATATGTACTTGATAATAGAAATAAAAAACAATTTTATTATTATTATTTTTATTATTTTTCAACAAATAGTGCTTTTAAATTATAGTTTAAAGTTATTTTTATTTTTTTTTTAATTTTTAAGCAATTATATTAAAAGACAACATGCAACAACCTTTGGACGAAAATATAAACATCGCAAGAGTAAAAAAATACATTTCACCTGAAGCATGGCAGACATTGAAAGTTTCTATAACTTCAAAAAGGGATACTGCAGAGTGGAATTGTAAAGTCTGTAAAACCGACGTGCACATTGCTGCATCACTCGTTTGTGATGGCTGCCTAGAGTGGTTTCACCAAAAATGCGTCAGACTGACACATGCTCTCTAAACAACATACTTGATGTGTAGAAACTGCATTGTAAATAAAAATTTAAAAAATTATATGCAATATTGTAAAATTCAAATAAGATTTATTTTAAAATACAGATTACTATTCCCAGCATACATGTAAACTGAAGTGCATTAACGTAAAATAACACAAAGTAACCATAGACACAAATATTATTGTTACATTCATAATTAATCGGTTCCCTACCCAACCCTGCATTCCGGCAATTAGTCTCCAATGTTACAATAACTTTTTCATCATTGGTACATTTCAATGTAACCGTAGCCAGTTTCTATGAACAATGACATGTTATGATCTTTTTATCATATGCTTCAACAATGGAGAAAAGTCACAGTTTAATACATTGATCCTTTTAAATGGTTCTCAAGGAGAATTTCTGAAAGTGAAAAGTGTACGAACGTCTGACGCCAAATGTAGTACATCCGATATGAAATCTTTCTAATCATATGCCTTAACAAAGAAAAAAAAAACAACAGTATGATATCTTTTTATATTGACGATAAAAAAAAATCTACAAAACATAATGAACACTGTTTCGAAAAGTCAACATTTGTAAAGTAACTTTCTAAATTGTGCCGGATCCTTTGAAAAATGCAACTATTGTATCATTTTATTTTATTTATTTTTTTTTTGTGTGGGGGGGGGGGCATTTTATATACTATATTTATCTGTTTTCCAATACTTGTTTTGTACCCTACTTTGTAATGTTTTTTTTTCACTGAAAACGTATACCATTGAGGTGCATTTTCCGGAATTTACCGAGTAACGCCGGAATGCCATGTGATAACATTACGGAAAGGCATGTGATAATTGTCGAAGCATGTGAAAAAAATTTCATATCAGCCGCTAAACACCATTTCGGAAAATATGGAATTCACGTAAATTTAATGCTATTATCATACTGTAAAAATTATAAATTATTTACTCTAATTATATGATAAAAGGTAATATCTCTTCATATCACAACAAACACAAAAATCGAAGAAGTAGTCTCCCATGAGATACAAGGGATAATAGCCGAGTATGAACCATAAGTATAAACAAAATCGACATTGAACCTTACTATATAATATCCATATTTACTCTACATTGTAATGTTTTAACAAGTTTATCACATCACTGTCTCTTTTCTGTAAAGCAATTCTAATAGGAGTCATCCCAAACCTGTCACTCACATTTACAGATGCACCATTTTTGAGAAAGAGTTCAGTAATATCTTTTTGAACAGCTGATAAAGACTTGAAAAGAGGCGTCTGTCCTAATTTTTCTACCATATTTACAGATGCCTTACTTTCAAGCAACAATTTCGTAAGATCAGTGTTTCCAGCCTGAGCAGTCAAATGCAGATGTGTTATACCATCTTTATCAGCTTGATTTACGTTTGCATCTTTTGTTATCAAAATTCTAGCCATTTCTAGGTTACTCTCTTTGCACGCTAGATACAAGGGTGTCCATCCATCTTTATCTGTTTCGTTTACCTTCGAACTAAATGATAATAGAAGTTTAATGAGATCTATTTTGTTATCGCGACAGGCAATATACAGAGGAGTTAAATTCTCTTTCTCCATTTTATCTATATCTGCTCCATGTTGAAACAGTATTGGTATGGAGTTTAAATGCCCTCGTTCACAACAAATATGGAGAGGTGTCCTACCATATTTTTCTGTTTCATCAATTGAAACACCATGCTTAAATAATTCTCCAACAATATTTTCATTTCCACTGAAGCAAGCTAGATGGAGAGGAGTAGCTGATTCTTTGTCTTTGGCACTAGCATCTGCTCCATGTAGCAGAAGGAGGGAAACTGCATCCTGTAGACCATGTGTACATGCCAGATGTAGTGGTGTCTTTCCATATATGTTTGTGCAGTTAACTTTTGCCTTGTAGTCTAACAACATCTTGATGATGTTGACATTACCCTTTTTACACGCAATATGAAGCGGCGTATCTTTATTTTTGTTATGGAGAAAAACGTCTGCATTTTTATCTAACAACATTTTAACAATAAGCTCATGGCTTTTTTTACAAGCCCAGTAAAGTGGAGTAGATTCATGTGAATCACGTTGATTTATGTCAACCCCATGAGAATGTAACAGCTCGGTTATTTCACTACTTCCTACTGCACAGCAACAATGTATTGGACACTTTCCTTCTTCATTATCTATTAATGTGTTAGCATTACATTTCAAAAGTAACTCAACAATCTTTTTTTGTTTCTTCTCGCAAGCTAAAAATATCGGAGTTCGACCTTTATTGTCAACAAGATTGACATCAGCCTTATTTTGAATCAACAATTCAACAATTTCAGTACATCCTTTCATTGAAGCTAAATGTAAAGGAGTGTGTCTAGCGCTATCCAATATATTGACCTTTGCATTTCTATTCAACAACATTTCAGCTATGCTCCTATGTCCATTCCTACAAACTACATGTAGTGCTGTTTTCAGATCACTTTTTCGTTGTTTTATTGTAGCTCTCTTCGACAAAAGCACAGCGACTGTATCTGTATGACCACCAGCACAGGCTAAATCTAATGGTGTATTTTCATTTTTATCCGTTTTGTCAATAAATGCTCTTTTCCCTAGTAATAACTGAACTGTTTGACTATGTCCCTTGAGACAAGCCAAATGCAACGGAATTTGACCAGATTTATTGTCTTTGTTAACCAATGATTTGTCAAAATCTAAGAAATATGTAAGGTAGTCGTCATAACCTTCTAAGGATACAGCATGCACAACTGTTGAACCATCATCAGAGTTCTTTAAGTCATTCCGTTTTAACATGTTTTTCATATACGAAGTGAATGCTTTTCTGAATTGAGGAAAAGCATTTTGCGTATCCGTTATTACATCCAAGAACAACCCTTGTTTAATTTCAATTAAGATTCGGTCAAAGTATGCTCTTTCTAATATGTCGGGAATCATAATGGTCAGTTTTGGAGGATGTCCACTCAGAGACAGAAACTGAACTCTATCCTTTAGAAACGATGTCTTACCATATTTCAGTAAACTTCGTAGGATATGTTGACTCAAGACATGTGCAATAATGTCCAATAACGTTTCGTTCATAAAGGAATACCCATATTCCGTTTCGATGCAATAAGATCCAACTAAGGCATTTAGACAAAAGAGTAATGACTGTTTTGATGGTATTTGGGTATAACCAATTTCATTTGCCAAACAATGAATAAGTTCATTAAAATTTCTATCTTGATTCCGATTATTGTTATCATGGATAAGTTTTTCTTTTTTTACATTATTGTTCAAAATCACCATTAGTGCTAATGAAAAGTAATGCAAATCTTTTGTTTTATTGCACTTTTCGATCTCTGCAGCCACATAACTATATGGTGTTGAAAAATATTCTACCGCATTTTCTTTTGTATCGGGTGAATAATTCGCGCACAGTGTAGGAAAGAAGCTAAACTTCATAATGACTCCATTGCTTAATTGGTCTATCATCTCTGCACTTAAATATGATTTTCCTATTGTCCGCCGATTGTCTTCGGTTAGCTTCAAGTCTTCTTCGATAAGGCTGTGGTGAACAAAAACTGTTTTCACTGTTCCAATATCAACTGTATTATATATATAAGACCTACAAGTTGCTAGTATCTTAAAATTCTTATTTCTATTCAGAAGCGTAAGAACCAAATTACCTTGCTTACTCCACCACATAGTATCATAATCATATACATTATACTTTCCGAATATATCTTCAATGATAAATATCTGTGTCTTATCTTTAGATGCATATCTGACAATGTCATCTGGGTTTGTAACAATCAATAGTTCGAATTCTTCGGTTTCCTCCAGAGTTAACGCTATGTGAAATGCCAGAAACGACTTTCCACATCCTTGTGGTCCTGACACCAGGATACACTGATCTATCTTCATGCTCTTCAATATCATTTTGGATGCCTTGGTTTCAACAAATCGATCCAAACGTTCTTTCCACTGCTTCTTTTCATAATTCTGTAGTTCTAAAACACATAATGGTATTCTTTTAAGCAATTATACAGTATGTTTTAGAGTTTTATACTTACTTGTGACACAAAACGTTTTTCACGTCAAGGTACAGTTAATTAACTATGTCACAGATTTTGGTAAAGGTTGCATGTAACGTGAGCTCGTTAAACTATAACAAATAAAATCGAAAAATGTTGCATATACTCTTTCATTTTTTTTTTTTTTAAATATTACTTAAAGAAATTTAACATTTAAAAAAAAAAGCACATTAAATTGGTTAAAAACGTTCATAATCCATACATTTTTCTTAAAAAATGATTTGTTAATAAATTTTATGTTATAATGATGTAAAAAATATTATAGGGTTAATGACTTCGTGTTGGTGTAGGAATCAGTCTGTTACCAAGTTGGTAGTGCAAAATTATTTTGTAAAAGTACAATTTTTAAAAATTTGACACTTTATTGTGATTTTTACTTGTGATAAGAATGATGTTCAAAACAGTTCCAATGGGTACAATATTTCGTATTTAAATGGTTTTCAAAAACACCAATCACTTAAAATTACTTTTTAACTAAAATGCGCTACAAATCAACAGAAAACTTTTCTGAATGCTTAATAGGTCTCAACATTGTAATTGAAAGTTCTCATAAGATTCTTTATCTATATGATGACCTATAAAGGTATACTGGTAGAAATATGTAATGCTTACACATTGTATTCAGAATCGATGACTTATAGCGGTATGAGGGCCATTGCCTTAAAATGCTTAAACTACCTGATTTTCTTATAGAGATGGACAAAAATACACAATTCATACTGAAAGTCATACATAAAAAGATCACACAAGAATATTTTGTAAAATCAAAACTATGGTTTTCAATATGGGTCACTATCACTTATGCGCCTCAAAGTGAGGTACTCGAATATTATTTGTTAACAAGAAGCTACATGCAGCAATATTGTACAAGTTGCTATTTTTAGTAACTGACTGAGCATACATATTTGTTTTGTATTGATTACAAAGAGTTTTTAATGTTATGCGAGAACAGACGATAACAGACGACGACAGATGCCAAAGTGATTGAAGTATATTTATTCAGACAAACTCGTACAATGTGAGATAAGCAAAATCTATAATGTTTCGTATATTATGCTTTACCTTTGATGTTTTCAGGAATTGGATTATCAAGTCTATTCTTTAATTCTAAGTTTTCTCGCATAATATCTTCTATTTTTATATATCCATTTACGCTGCCTAAAATTAGAAAGGTAATGTGAATCTTCAAATGAATACATCCTATTTATAAAGTGAGTGATAGTCTATATAACCACTACAAAGTACATTTTTAATATTCAGAATAGATGTCAGTGGTCATCTCTGTGTAAGTATTTCTTAACAAACTTCACACGTTGATTTATCATTTGCCATGACATGAAAACAGAAAACTTCTGTACATATAAATTTCCATTAATTTCTAGAAAAATTAAAGCTATTTTCTCGGGAGACTGTTTATGACCATCTGAATTGAAGAGTAATGATCTAGTACACGGCAAAGAATTAAGACACTATTTAGTTTTTTACCAAAGTAACATTGGCCTTGGGCTGTTTTATGCTCTTTGGTCGGGTAGTTGTCTCTTTGACACATTCCCCATTTGCATTCTCAATCTTATTATCTTGTAATTCAAAGAAAAGTTCATGCTCTATCTTATTAAAGCTATTGGTTTAATAAAATTAATCAAATACAGAGACTACTAATTTTTTTACAATTAAATTACGTAAACTGAATTTTTTTAATGAAATATTAAAGTCCTTCAAGACGGTAAAAATTGAAAGTGTTGATTTACACACATTTTTCTTATAAAAACTAATCGTTGTCAGAGATATATTCGTTAAAACCATAATAATGACCTATAAAGAATATTCTCCAAAAGCTTGCGACACTGGACATGTTTTAAACATATTATAATTAAATGCTCCGCTGGGGCGTAGCTTGATACGACCGCAGAGGTCGAACCCTGAACAGTTGGGGCAAGTATGGACACAACATTCAAGCTTGATACAGCACTGAATTTGGATTGTAATTAAATATTTGACACAGCATAGGTTTCTGACACAGAATGAAAGTGGTCTAAGAACTTAAAAAATTTTAATTTACCTATTCAAACCATATCATGATTATTTGCTTTTATATATAAATCAGAAATAACCAATTTAAAATGGAAAATTCTAAAGAAAAAAAAGGAAAAAAAAATCCCCCCCCCCCCCCAAATTTTTTGAACCCCCTTATAATTCATCACCCCCAAACTCAATCCCAGCCTTCCCTTTGTGGTATGGTACCTTGCAGTAAAATTTCAGAGAGATCCATACATTTGAACACAAGTTATTGTCTGGAAACTAGAAAAATGCTTGTTTTTTTGGCCCCTTTTTGGCCCCAAATTCCTAAACGTTTAGAGCAATTACCCCCAAACTCAAACCCAGCTTTCCCTTTGTGATATGGAACCTTGTAGTACAATTTCATAAAGATCCATATACTTACACACAAGTTATTGTCCTGAAACTAGAAAAATGCTTGTTTTTTTTGCCCTATTATGGCCCCTAATTCCTACAAATTTGAGGGAATTACCCCCAAAATCAATCCCAGCCTTCCCTTTGTGGTATGGTACCTTGCAGTACAATTTCAGAGAGATCCATACACTTGAACACAAGTTATTGTCTGGAAACTAGAAAAATGCTTATTTTTGGCCCCTTCTTCCTAAGCTTTTTGGTCAATTACCCCCAAACTCATTTCCAGCTTTCCCTTTGTGATATGGAACCTTGTAGTACAATTTCATAAAGATCCATACTCTTACACACAAGTTATTGTCATGAAACTAGAAAAATGCTTGTTTTTTGGCCCCTTTTTGGCCCCAAATTCCTAAACGTTTAGAGCAATTACCCCCAAACTCAAACCCAGCTTTCCCTTTGTGATATGGAACCTTGTAGTACAATTTCATAAAGATCCATATACTTACACACAAGTTATTGTCCTGAAACTAGAAAAATGCTTGTTTTTTTTGCCCTATTATGGCCCCTAATTCCTACAAATTTGAGGGAATTACCCCCAAAATCAATCCCAGCCTTCCCTTTGTGGTATGGTACCTTGCAGTACAATTTCAGAGAGATCCATACACTTGAACACAAGTTATTGTCTGGAAACTAGAAAAATGCTTATTTTTGGCCCCTTCTTCCTAAGCTTTTTGGTCAATTACCCCCAAACTCATTTCCAGCTTTCCCTTTGTGATATGGAACCTTGTAGTACAATTTCATAAAGATCCATACTCTTACACACAAGTTATTGTCATGAAACTAGAAAAATGCTTGTTTTTTGTCCCTTTTTGGCCCCTAATTCCTAAAATTTGGAGGCAATTACCCCCAAAATCAATCCCAGCCTTCCCTTTGTGATATGGAACCTTGTGATACAATTTCAGAGAGATCCATACACTAACACACAAGTTATTGTCATGAAACTAGAAAATGCTTGTTTTTTGCCCCTTTTTGGCCCCTAATTCCTAAAATTTGGAGGCAATTACCCCAAAAATCAATCCCAGCATTCCCTTTGTGATATGGAACCTTGTGGTACAATGTCAGAGAGATCCATACACTTACACACAAGTTATGTCTGGAAGTTACAAAAATGCTTATTTTTGGCCCCTTTTTTGGCCCCTGATTCCTTAACTGTTGGTACCACAACCCCCAAAATCAATCCTCACCTTCCTTTTGTGGTATTGAACCTTATGGTAAAATTTCATTTAGATCCATTCACTTAAACTAAAGTTAGAGTGCGAAAACTAATGTGTCTTCGGACGACCACGACGATGGCGGACAACGACGACGATGGCGGACGACGACGACGACGACGACGACGACGACGACAACGACGACGACGCCAACGTCATACCAATATACGACCACAAAAATTTTTTTGCGGTCGTATAAAAACTTAAAACATATTTTCCACGATTTAACCAATAATACTTGCTTGAAGAAGTTTGTTTCTCTACAATTGACTTGTATTTTAATTTGCATAGAATTTTTAACTTACCAATCGGAGACCTGTCCATGCAAAGCGCACTCATCATAAAAGCTGCAAATAAGACATATTAAAAAACTAGTACAAGTAAATCATGTAATCAAAGTTCAGCGTCTTTCAAATGTATCTTAATAGACGACGTCTGTAAAATCGCTGTCATGTTAATTGAAGAATTTTGCTATCCTTCCAAAATTCGCATTGATAATTGATATAGCATATGTACTATTTTTCGTATCCGATAATACACGAGTTGGGTAATTAGGAGTAAATCCAGACTATTCCAAAAATTATACAAATAGTTCTAATGACATTACACACAGTTGAAGAAGACATAAGTTCCAGATAGAAGGTCGAATGATATTTCCAAGGAAAATATTCAAACCACCGTAAAAACTTTAATTAATGCATACTCAGTTTGAACTCCACCACTGATGTTTATCTGATTGATATTACTACGATTATTAGCAATGTTTGATAAGCTCCAATATATAATAAGTAAACCATATATATTTAAATACAAAAGACCTATGGTGGATATTGTTAGTTAGGCAAACACCTTACACTTGTTGCTAGGTTTTTGACAAAAAGAAGCAATTAACTCGAACGGTTGTCAAAAGAGTAAGCAAAAACTTATTTTGTTATATCAATCTTTCGGATAATTTTTAGACATATACAAATTGAAAGTAGTTTAACAAACTATATCAAAACACTTTGAACGCAATTCGTTTGGAAGTGTTCAATCACTTTAGAACGTTTAGCTGGTGTCATTTACCGCCTATTAACTTAGTAATGAGTGACAAGCTACATTTGGGGGCTAATTTGGCTCTGTGAATGCACCAAAAATAAAACATTATATCATACCAGTAATGATTTAAATCATAATTCGTAAGCATTAAAGAAAGGCTTTTAGAAATAGAGGTTCTAAATAGCCTGTGTTGCTCACCGGGATCTAGGTACATGTTCAACGATGGCAAATCTTCAATATTAAAGACTAGAACATAATTCATTACACATATCATATTTTGATATTCTTGTACAGCTGACCATATTTTCTGTTTTTGGTTTCTCTTTATCTACTTATCTTTTTGCCAAAACGGCAAAATTGGTAAAAATCTTTATTTAAGGGCAATTACTCCTATAAGTCATATGACAATATTGGTCATCCAGACTTACTTGTAGATCTCGTCTTGTCTACGTTTTTTTTCTTTATCTATTACAGTTTTCAAACGTTCAAAATGGGTAAAACTCATAAAAGGGGATAACTCCTACAAGGAGTCAAGCAATAATTTCGGCTATTTTGACACATTTGTAGATATTGTCCTTATAACCATTTTTGCTGTTTGCAGTTTTCTTTTATTTACTTCATTTTTGGCCAAAAATGCAAAACTTGGTAAAGGTATCATTTAGGGCAAAAACTGCTGCATGTATAAGGCATCAAGCGAAGATTTTGAGAGTAACCCAATTGTAGGTTCACTATGATTCAAAAACGGTAAAGGCGATATTAAAACTTTTTGACAGAAGAAAACCACTCAGCATCATATAACTTCTAGCTTGAAACTGCGTGTAGTGTTATCCGGACAGATCGTATATTCTACATAAATAAACAGTAAAAATATTCTGTTAGTATATGTAGAGATGTCAATCAAATATGATACTGTTGAGCATGAAAACTTTTAATATATGATTAGGTGCAACACTATTGAACAGTCAGCAATTAAGATATGTGATGAGTAAAAACTTGTTCAGTCTATGTTTTTGTGTTAAACATTGGAATACAAAATGATAAATGATATTCAAAGTGAAAGAAATTCAAAGTGAAGGAACGAATTCTGAATTTTCAAGCTTTACTTACATGCATATATGTAGAAATAAAATTTAAAACTCAAAAAAATCTTCTTCGCTAATACTAAAAGGACTGATAAACATATATCAGGAAAGGGTTCTTAGTGGTACAAGTTCAAAACGTTTTATGGACGCAATCATGAGTGGTTGACCTTACTGGAATTTCTATGTCACCTCTTATATTTTCCATTTGTCTCAGACACAATCCCGAATTTCCCTTGTTTTTGAGATTACTGAATGCCACTTATCACATGATTTTATTTTCTATGAGTAATACGATTTAATTCTTCACCAACTCAAGGATTTGTATAGTGAGAAGGATTTGAATCTCGTGGACTATT